CAGACACTTTTGCAAAACAGGAAATACTGAAGTTGGAAGTTTTTTGTAAAGCAAAAGGTGTTGGATGTCCTTGGAAAGGTCCCCTTTCATTGTTAGAGGTATAAAACTAGCCCTGATGCCCATGAGATTATTTTAACTTAAGAAACTATGTATAACTAATAGCACAAGTGTTCCTCTGGATGTCAATCAAGTCTTGGAAGAGTATGAATCAGCAAGACATGAGTTAATTTTATATCCACACATCAATTAATTATCACTGCACAATCTCATGGGATAAATCACATTCCAGGTGACAAAATTCAATCAGCCAATTAGATCTCTGTCTCACTCATTCAGTTGAGACAAGTGACATTGAAAAGCAGCTGCTATCACTTATAAGAATTACCAGTATGAATTTTTTATCAGCTTAACAGGGGTCGACACTAATTTTTCAACTTACTATAGCCAAGTGGCAAGTGACACCTTAGAGGTAACAACAGTTTCAGTTTGTTTACTAGCCAAACTGGCTAATAAAAATCACAAAACACAAGCCAAAACTGAATTTCTATGAGTCTGTGGCTATAGTTGGCTACTGTTAGTATCAAGCCCTGCTTAATACCAGCCACACAGAGCATACAAGAACAGAAGCATGCAGTCTAAATTATAAAGACAAGTATTGTATTTAACAGTCATTCTGTCAGTAAGTCTGTATACAATAAGGGTATTATATTCCGTAACGGTATGTAACTGCTGGAAAGGTATTTTATTTCATGTGATGTTTTGATTTCCTTCATGATAGGATCATTCCCATAAATGTCTCTTTTTTTGTGTTGAATGTGAGCATAACTGTGGTGTGCAGCCTGAAAGAAAAAATCTCCAATATCACATGGAAAGTGAATGTTTGCTGAGGAAGATTTTGTGTGAGCACTGTGGGGATGCAGTTTCATGGTGTGAAGTGGAGGTGAGCCTCTTAGTTACTGTTAATTTTTACATAGAATTGCATATCTTTTGCATTATTGTAATGTATTATATATATGCATGCCGCAATTTTTTTCTTTTCTGCTTTAGTTTGTTACTCATTAGAACTCACTATGTGTTAGTGAGTCTATTTTGAATTTTTCCTAACATGTCAATTTACAACAAATCTCAAAGGTTAATTGACAAAGCTATATATCTAAGGACTCAGTAGTGACATATCAGAGTGAATTAATTATGACAACTTTCTCCTTATATGCTAATGTTACTTTAGACCTCTGGAGACTTCTTTCTTGTGGAATTGTTCACCTTTAAATTGAAGTTTTTTGTTTGGTCACTTCAACTTAAATTTCTAAAAAATTAAGGTAATGAATTTATCTTTAGATAATGCATGCGAGACATTGTGAAAAAGGCATTTTTATAGAAAGGTTAATTATATCCCAGCAGGACGTGAACACTGTGAGTGACAAAGGGTTCATGGTTTTCCAAATCTTTTTAGATTGGAAAAGAAAATGTTTTCCCTTCATGCCTGCAGGTGTTGATTGATACCCAATTTATCTGTTGCAATGGCATTCAGTGCTCATTTTAATGTTTTAATTAACAGATTTCTTTGTCGTATAAAAGGGAATAAAATATCTTGTAGTTTTATAGAATTCTGCATTATTTTAATAATCTTTTTATTACAATAAAGGTAGTGGTGGTTGCATGTTTGATAAACTTTCTTTTACTTTTCCTTTCAGAAACATTTTGGAAGCTGCCTAAAGTATCCTGAGCAATGCAATGAATGTAAACAAGAGGGTATACAGAGAGGCAAGGTAAATAAAGACACAGCCTGCTTGCAGGTGGTAGTTTGTGTCTTCCAGCATGAGACTATACTCAACACAGCAAATATTTGGTCACCATACTGTGTGGGTGGAAGAATTGGGACA